TCTGAAAGCTACAGGTTCTTCATCCCTGACTTAGAGATTTATCATGCAATAATATATGTGTTTCTTTTCTTAACTTTAACTATGTTGAACAGTGTGCTTTTATTATTGTTTCTGGTTATCTTTATATAGTCAGCCTAATGTATAAACACATAGAATTAACTTTGATTGTTTTGTTCAGCTAACTGAAAGAAGCTGGTTAGCAAATACCAGAATAAAAGTATATTATTGCTAGATTTAGTAGGAGAGGAAAAAAAGATTAAGGTTGGTTTGTAGGTAGATGCCAGGAGGATAGTCTACTTCTAACTTATTTTCTGCTCTTTGTAGTTATAGTCTGCTTATTATAGTTATCCTATAATGATCAGTGAAACTACAAACAACTAATTTCTTTTGATATGCTTACCAAGTCCAAAGATGGATAACTGTGTATTCAAGTCATTCACAAGCTCATTTACGAGTAAATGTGAGTAAATGCCTGGTCTGTGAACTGTGGATTGGATTTTTTCTTCTGGTAGGTTCGTATCCTTTGATTTCTATCTCTCAGGCAGATATTTAGGAGACTCCGTTTTTCCCATCACTGGGCTCAAAATAAGTAAAAACCTTATCACCTGAAGCATATCTATAACACATCTGCTAAAATTATGTAAAGTGTATAGAAGTTGCTGCCTAATCCTGATTAAAGTTTACAGCTGTATCTTACATGCATATACACAGAAGTGTTGAATTCAGTTGGAAGTACTTCAAGATGGGGCAGGGAGAGATTCTAGGCTGTAGCTCATGGTGTAACTATTCAAGTAATAAAAATAGGATAGAAAAGGTAGTATCTTTTACTTATTACCCACTGATTTAGTTCACATAGCATGATAAACTATTATAATGTTTGATTTTGTGTTGATTTGTTGTATGAATCCAAGATTTTGGGTTAAAAATGATTTATGACTTAGTTGGCTGGCTTATCTAGCACAGTAGGTCATGATTTTTACTTTTTTAAAAAACTAAATTAGAGCTGTAAATCACAATTATAACTAAGCCATAATTGAAATGTGTCCCTACATTGTGCAGAGTGGATAGGTTCACCACTATGTAACATGGCTTTGTGCATTTTGCTAAATAATTATTCATTTTACCATAGGTTGTTGAATAAACTGCAACCACTGTATTCACAAATACAATGAAATAAATAATGGTTTGTAAACCATATTCATGTTTTGTATAAGCCAAAACCAAACCACATTATGGCTTTGTGCAATGTACTGTATCTGCGGCCACTGTGCAATATTCACAAAATCATAGTTAAAACAACACATGGTTTAGCATAAGGTGTGAGCTTTAACACTATCTGATCTACACTCAGGCAGTTTCTGTTTTTAAATTATTTATAACATAGCAAGCTAGATTGCTGGCATGTTGCATGCCACACATGTGTGCAGCCTGTTTAAACTTATGCCAAATGTGTGAAAAAATAAATAGGAAGTGGCATGATAGTTCAGAAAGGGTTTTTTTTTTTTTTTATAGATGTAGTAGGAGGGTAGCCATGTCAATCTACAGTGGCAAGAAATCAGGAATCTGGTGGCAACTTTTCCAATCAACAAATTTTATTAAAAGTTTAATGAAAAAGCATATACCTTTTAATATTTATAGTCAGAAAAGGTTCTAGCAGATTCCTACTGATATTTTTATACCATTTTATATGATTGTTGCCATGACACAATATATATACACATACATACAAACATAGATAGATGGATGGATAGATAGATAGAATGTATTTATATGTTATTTTATTGCCATTGCAAATGTATGGAACAACAGCCAAAAACCTTTATGGTAAGCTTACTGTGAACAAATTAATAATAAATACTAAATCAGATGAGAGGTTGAAAAGACTGAGCCCAAAGTTCCCAAGCCTCAGACCAGCTTTTGCATGAAATCTTCATTGATTTATTTTAAACATCTAGATTTTGTTTTTACAATAAGCTCAAAGTAAGTTGCAACATAAAATAACATTAAAGCAATTTTTAAAAAATAATTACAAGCGGAGTAATTGCTAGTTTTATTTACAATCATAATCAACTTCTTTTCAAAAAGCAGAGCTGAAATCATGCACTGTGTTATGGATGTTAAACTGACTGATTTTTGTGTTACTATTTTGAACACAAGTGGCAAAGTGACAGAATTTACTTCTATGGAAGGCACAGGGCGAAGAGGAATATGACATAGAGTGACATTCTCTTGTTTAAATTGCTGTGCACCAAGGGAATGATTCACTTCACATGACTTGCATGTGTACTTCCAAATTCTTATAACAACATGACTTTTTTTTATATAGAACTGGCTTGTCTATCAAAGTAAAATATGCCTAGAAATTAAACTTGAAGAATGCAATATGATGTCAATTGATGTTTCAATGAGAAATAATACTCTCAGGGTTGCCTGGATACTAATAAGATGTGTGTCATAGAGGAATGGAAATGTAAATGAATGAACAAATTAGTTGTCAGCTTTAGCTTTACACTGCGATAAGGGCATGGGTAAGGGTGTGTAAGATAGATGGCATGCAAGATTAATCAGTGTACTTTGCATGTCTTTGGAATAGTTATTCAACTTCTCTGTTTAACTTTCATTCACTTAGGATCTTTTTAAAAATCAAATCTCATATTGTTAAGGATCAGGGTGGTTTACAATATAAATATTCATAATAAAATACTAAGTGAAAATGGAATCACTGAATGGTAATTTTCCCTTAAACACTTCTTTCTACTTTCAATAAATCAGGCCAGTCAGGTTTTGCTGCTGCTTTTATAGACGATCATATCTCTAACATCAGTGAATTTTTTAAATGATCAACTACAAGATGAATTTTCAGTAATAATGTTATTTAGTGCAATGAAATACTAAATGAAAGAAAATATTTGAATGGTAATTGTGGTTTGAATGTTTACTGCTGGCTGTAATAGCTATCCAGCAAAATATAATTTGCACAGAAGATCACATCTCTGTCACTGGTGAAACTTTTAAACAGTATGAAAAAAAAAAAACCTTTAGTGAACAGCAGAAAAATTTATTTTAGATTAAAGATTAAGATTGTCTATGGTAAGCAACAAAGAGCTTGAGGAACAGAATGTTTTCAAGGACTGCTTTCTAAAACCTTTGCGCTGTGGTCAACAAAGAACTTGCTCATATTGTATGACCACCTTTTTATTCTTTAGAGACCCTGGGCTAATTAACAGATGTTGAGCAAAGTGCAGGGTCATATTAAAAAAACAAAACAAAATAAAACAAAACTAGTCCTTGAAATAGTTTTTTCCCAAATATTTATAACCATTAAATATCATGGTGGTGCCTGTGAATGGCACTCCTTTATATTTAGAATCTGCAAGTTTATTTTTTCTGGAAAATAATGGCTGGATTTGAGTAACATACTAAACCACAAGTTAACTAATCACATTTTCATTCAGCGTAACACAACATGTATGGTTCATTAATGGTCAAGAATATCATATCAGCCCAGACATAAGCATGCTGTGTGACTATTATGGGAAATCAATGAGGCATCAAAACATTGTTAGAGTGGAGGGAAAGACCATAATAAGTGGAACGAAACACAGATATCATACACTTCGGCAGATCCATTATTTTATGGTGTGGTTTCCGGTTGTATGTATATGTGTGACATTTTATATGTCTTTCTAACACCTCTTTTGCATTGGTTTACTCTGAAAATTTATGATAAATTGCTTCTCATTTTAGTGGTTTCCTTTGAATTTCAATAATATGAATTATGGGGGATTTAACAATAGATTCAGAGTAGATCCAAAGTGTGGCTTCTAGAGATCTCAGTCAAGCTGATAAAATAATTCTTAGATAATATTACTTCCCCTTGGGAAGCTGATGAAAAATCCCAAATCACTCACATACTACCTGCCCTATTATTTGTGTTTTCATTATGTACACATAGAGATGACAAGGCAGGAAATAGAAAGTCTGTGACCAGATAGAGCTGTTTTGTAAAAACAGTCCAGGTGCAACCAACTAGCCAGTATGAGAAAAGGACTATAAGCCATTCATTAAAAAAAAAAAAAAAAGACAGTAGAAAGAAATTCAGTTTATATAAACTAACTCTGGGGTATAGTTTAGTTCTTCTTACTAAACTAGATATTATTTCAGAAAAAGCATGTTCCTGATTGTACAGATCCTGAACTCATAAGGAATGAAGGGAGTTAGTTTTCTTCAGCCTCTGATTTTCCTTGCTTTTCAGTCAGGTTCATTTTATAAATTGTATTTCATAATCTAGTTAGGGATGGGGGAAACTCTTCAAATAATTGGAAATGTCATTGCATGGAAAATTCAAGAGAAAGACAAAGATGTCCGCATCTGCCTCCCCATTGTTCCCTGGATTATGTCCCTGTCCCTGTCCTTTAGCATTATGAACTGAATTGCAATGACAACATAGAATGTAGAATATTTGTATATAATTTTATCTCAGAAGTAAATCAAATGGTCTTCAGTGAGGTTTATTTTTCAATAAATGTGCTTTAGAATAGTAGCTTTAAAAATACTTGACATTCATTCATTCATTCATTCATACAGCCAAGGGATTCTGAACATCTATTTTAAAAAATCAGCACTTTCTCTGACAAACAAATTTTATTAAAAGCCACATGCTTTTGTGAGCTGCAGCTCACTTCATCAGATGTTCATGAAAGTTTATACCTTTCAAAAATATCTGTTTGTTGGAAAAGGTGCTACCAGACTTGTGATTTTTTGCTACCATAGGCTAACATGGCTTTCCTCCTACAAAGTAGTCAGACATCTCTAATGGGAATGGTTTATGCATACTAGGTCAGCCCCAATGTTTTTGTGCATATTATTAAAATGATCTACTTCTGATGAGTTCAGTAAAATTCATACTGCAGTTTTTAAACACATATTTATCAACAGTGTTTATTTATAAACAATATAAGTGAAGTAATTATTGCTTTTCTCTTTGTTTTCAATTACAGCAGGAAAGGAGTTCAGAGAATTCAAGAAATAAAGGTAACGTTCATCACTAACTGGAGCACAAAGTATACTTGCGTTTGCTTTCTGTCCCTTTCAAATCAGTATGAATAAAAGACAAATGTGCTGCAAATTTACAACTGTAATTTTACACTACAATTTTACAATTATAACATTACATTTTAAGTACTGCACAGAGTAATATGAGTTTTACTTAGAAATGTGTGAAGATACCAAGATATGTTCTTTTAAGGAATTATAAAATGTTTTAATTCTGGATTTTAAACATTTGCCTATGCTTTATGTATGTATATATTAGTTGGCTTTATTAATTCATTTTATTTATAACTTAGATTTATAAAGACTGCCCAAATCAGCATGGACTCTGGGCATAATTCTGTCTCTTATGCCAGCCTGGATCTCTTCATATCTGTATGATATAATGTATAAACAGTGGTATAATCTGTTTTCCAAATCTGCAACAAATAAAAACAAATACAGATACAAAAATAATGATCACAAGTTCAAATAGGTTTGGTCTAGCAATACCTATGATAGAAAAAATGGTATAGTGAAATAACTGATAAAGTGTTTCATGAAGTAAAGTATACAAGATGTTTGAACTGATGTCTCGTTATATTCATCTGGTTAATTTGGATTAGTATATAATGCTTGCTATTAGTTGTAGGCATTCATAATAATGTTAGGCTGTAACTTGCATATCTGGGCTGTAAAAATACAGAATACTTTTCCTTCCAGAAGAGGGAAACAAATACTTTTGAGTTTTCTGTATCTTTGCTGCCTTCTAATGATTATCTAGATTTTTGTAGCCTGAGTATAGTAGCTTTAATGTAGATAAAATATTTTGTTGCCCCAAAACAGAGGAAGTGTATTCAGTGGTGGAAGATACTATATATGCAGCACAGGGTTGAATTGTGGGCTCTTGAGTTCTCTGAGTTTGTCTTCTTGCAGACATTTTATTACCAGTCTAAAAAACATCATCAGTGTTCTGATGTAGGGTAATTAGGTTTGTTGGCTGTTTATAAATAGCAGCTTATTCCTATAAGCATGGTATTGTTTCTTATTTGCTTTATTCCTGTTTATTTAGGTTTGGGTTCATGAGTGTGTGATAAGGGAGAATGTGTTCAAGGCTGTTTGCCCTTTCTTTGACCTCTAGTTGTACCTTTTGAATGACTTATAAACTGAATTTATTTCTATGCCTGTTGATGGATAATTTGTCAAAGCACCAAGCTTCTAGGAATCATCTTGCATTTTTAGGCCTGGCTTCATCTAAAATGTGTACAGTTTTCCAGGTGAAATTGTGCACATTTTGAATCTAACTGGCAGAACAAGCCACTGTGTATAAGCAGGTAACAGACCTTATCTCTCCCACATTAATAATGAAACAGCTGCAAGAAGAAAACCAAGCTCAGACAACCTTAAAAATCCAGCAAGAGATGATGGATGGATGGATGGATGGATGGATGGATGGATGGATGGATGGACAGATGAGAGAGAGAGAGAGAGAGAGAGAGAGAGAGAGAGAGAATATTGTTG